ATCAGCATCACAAGGATGAGAGAAACCTCCTCTTTCACATCATTCCCTGAATCCTACTGAACTCTCTACAATAGCCAAAGAAGTCAACAAAATATGACATCGATATAATTATGGGCCATCTTTTGCTACTTGAGTTCCTTAAGTCGTCTAGCGGGGAGAAGTGCAACCGACAGCGTTCTCCGCGACTCACACAGGCCTGCATGTGAGTAGCTTGCTGATAGTGTAGAAAAACAGGAAAACTAGGTAAGTGTTTCTAGCTCCATAAAGTCATTTAACGTTAAATGTGCATGTCTAATTAGCGAGGTGTATGGCAACCTCTAGTGGTATAACATTCCAATTTATGCAGCTGTAGGAAAAGCATTTGCCTTCGGTACTCTGTCGTCTTCTCGCCACCGATTTTATCAGAAGGACACAGTGATGAGATGTCAGAGTACAGCTGCTCAGAGAAAGACCCTCCTCTCCATTTCCAAGCGTCAGACATACAAGAGCAGGCAGGCTAGCTGTAGAAAAGCTGAATATTGTGAAAGCTGTTTCCAAATAGGTTAAAAGAATTAATGCCAACTGACCCGCAGCTTTAAGTAACAAATAGAATACCTGCACTAATACACCATTTAGGCACGTGGCTATGCTTTTTGGCAATTGTACTTGGGGTGTGGAAACCAAGCAAAGGGAAAACCTACCCTTACTCCAGATACGTAACACTGCGTCTGGTTGTGCTTTGTCGCTTAGAGACTACACAGCCACCTCTGGCAGTCGTCTGTGACATGGACGACATTGACACACATTCTTTTTTCTTTCTTTTAAAATACTCTACCCATGTAATTTAAAGATACTACAAATATCAGCACTCCACACATACGAGAGAGACAGTGCAGCGCCGTATCACCCTTGGCACCATGCTGAAAAAATAGCTCTGCCTAATTAAAAACAAACCAGTGGTAATAACTCATAGAGAAGGAAAGGATCTCAAAGTCAGGGCAGCCTCCAATAGAGGACATCCAACACTAAATGAATACTGCCCTGGATCTTATTATAAAACATCTCTTACATCTATCTTTACTTCCAGCAGCTGCTCGTGATAGATTTATACAAATCTGTCAATTTTCAGGCTTGCTGGAACATGGTACAAATTACCCAATATTATGAAGTTGTATTCCAGTGAGCTCTTAAGTACACCACGCTGAATATTCCCAGCTAATTCTTTCATAGAAAATAGTCTTCAGAAATTAAAACAATTGGCAGTCTCTGCTCAGAATAGGATTAGGAAAAAGCCTGCATGGAAATGGAATTACTTCTCACACTAAGGCAGGAATCATTAGAGCATCTGGTGAGGCTTAAATTATGGCTATCTATTCAGTTGTATTGCTAAGTAGATTTTAAGTTAAGTGTTTTACAGCTACTTAATTTAAAAACCTATACCCTAAAATACTTCATGTAATATGAAGTATCATCATCTTTTTATGCTTTTCCCGCAGAGCAAACACTGTTTCATTATGGATACTGTGGTTTCTTCTCTCCGAGACGCATGCACTCCGGTGGTAGAACCAGAATAGGAATTTAAATATAAATACTCTGCTTTGGCATCATGGAGCAAGCTGGGTCCATCCGTGCTAGCTAAATTTAATAATAGTGGCTAACAGACTTCATAAGGTAGGAAAAGGAAGGACAACGCATGCCTCGAAACATCAGTCTTATGAAATACGTGTATTCCTATTGCTTCTCTTGGGAAGTGAAGCTTTCTAACACATCTGTGTGTTTTGAGAGGAAATCAGGTTAAAATACTTCCTTTACAGTGCTTAAGCCTGCCAGGGAACCCAAGGCTGCAAAGCTCCAGAGAAGGAAATGCTACCACGCTAGCCGCAAAGTCTCATGGAAGACAGGTTGCCCCTGGAAATGACCCCTCCTTCCAGCCTGCCCATGTCTTAGCCCCACAGGACTTTTTGCAACAGATTTGAATACATTTTTATAGTAGGGCCTTTGATTTTACAAGCAATCCTGGTCATAGCGACACATTAAATCCCAGTCTCGGTGGCCATTTCTGCCTATTGTCCAGATGTAGTATTTCCTACCTGCAGAATAAGATCTTCGGTCAACATTACACATAAAATCTGGGGCCAACGGGAATGAAACATATTCCATAACCCTCCTCTTCTATTTCTGGTTCTGTTTTAAATTTAAATATGCCGCCTCCATTACAATTTCTACACCATAGTGATCTGGCGTGTCTGGCTACAACAAGGCAGAAGCTTAAAAATAATCATCAAACCACAGAATGGTTTGGGTTGGAAGGGACCTTAAAGATCATCTGGTTCCAACCCCCCTGCCATCAGCAGGGAAATCTTCCACCAGACCAGGTTGCTCACAGCTCCATCCAACCTGGCCTTGAACCCTGCCAGGGAGGGGGCAGCCACAGCTTCTCTGGGCAACGTGGGCCAGGGCCTCACCACCCTCATGGGGAAGAATTTCTTCCTAATATCTCATCTCAATCTGCCCTCTGTTAGTTTAGAGCCATTCCCCCTTCTCCTATCACTACCACACCCTTATGAAAAGTCCCTGTACAATAAATATATATCATCTTGCCTTTTTGTTGATGAGCACATCCATTCTCTGTACCTATCCTCCCACTATTTCCACCATAAAAATACAGCCCTGCCAGCACCCAGCGGTTGGGATAACCAACGTCCTTCTCAGACTGCTCTGCTACCACACTCCAGCTGGTTGGATAGTGTTTGGGCATCAGTTGTAATACTGCTCAGCTCAGCCCCTGCGCGAAGTCTCTCTGCTAAAAGCCGTACAGAAACCAACCAACAGTAGCTACTCAGAGTTTACATCTTCAGAAGAACTAAGAGTTTCGAATATGCCACTACTACATGTTTGCTCTAAGGGTGTTTCTTTCTATTTCTTCACACAATAAGACATAATTTAACAGACAATTTCAGTGTGACAGAATTTTTTTCCACTGTTTTCTGCCACTCACCCCTCTTGCCTCCTTTCCTCCTGCATCAGTATCAAGCAACAACAGAAGTCTGTTTGCCTCCAGCACGAATATGTATTATTTCGCAAGTAAAATCAAGCAGCAGTGTTAAAGTCACTTTGTAACTACGCATGTCTAGAGAGATGACGAATAAGGCACCCAAACGTCACAGCAGATGGTTGAAATGTTGGATGCAAGGAGTGCACAAGAATTTCTGGGTGTTGCACGTCTTTCCTTGGGTCTAGAGATGGGTCTTACACATGAGGGAGTCAATCTGCCTCAAAGATGCCATTAGAGATGGGGAAAACCACGTGTGAGAAGGCTGGAAAAGGCTGGTGTAGGGAGAACCCTCACAGCACAAAAGGCTCCCTAGATATCCCTGAGTTTAATGGTCGAGAAGAGATGTGTGCCCCGAGGTACCGAGGCTGCTGCTTCCCCGCTGATGGCTGCCACCTCTTCTGCTAACCAGCGGACCACATGCTTCACCACTTCATAACCCGAGTAAATCAAAATAATCCAGCTGAGCTTACCTGGAACCCTGAGTTTATATTTTGAACAGTAAATGTCCATAAACTCCGAGCATTTTGACAAAAGCCGAGTTGCACAGAAATACACATGCAGTTACACTAGATGACTACAAGATCACTGAGCAGCGATAATGGCCGGCTCTAACAGGGAGTAGCAAGCTAACCTCTTCCTGGCCCAAATACAACCAGAGGAACACATCTTGCTTTGGTCTGCAGAAACAGCAGTAGAGTAAAATAAAACAAAATCAGAAACTGGGAACATAGGAGCAAGCTCTGAAGTGGCAAACCAAGTATCACCCTAAAGACCAGACCAAGGTTTTGAGCATCAATGTGGCATATCTCACACCACGCTAGGATCTGTGATTTCAGAGGCCAACATCTGCAAATGCTTGGAAAATTCACACTCCATGTCTATGACTTGAGAAATGAAGAGAGTAGGTATTCAAGACAACGTCTGTGATACTTAACAGGAAAATAGCTTCAGTTCAAATTCTGAACACATTATTGCTGCCAAGGGTGCGAAAAGAGGGTGAGTATCAAGCAGGGAAATGGTAATGGCATCCTGCTTACTTGTCCATACTTCTACAACCAACCATTTCCAAAAGCGAGGAGGCTCGGAGAGAACGAAATCCTGAAGAGCAGTGGTTTAAGGACAAGATGGATCTCTTGTTAACCCAGTCCTCTACAAAGTGCACAGGCACGCGATTATTGTTTACTGGTTTTTGGCACACTGTCTGTGCTTGACAAGCACGGTAACCGTTTATTCCAGATAGCAACAGCAAGGACCTTCCCGGTTTCCCTTGGAGCGTGGAGCAGGACTGGCTGCCAAGACAAGAGGCATGCCTGATGCCTGGCTACCTGCCTTTCCAAAGTGGTCTGCAGCACAAATATGAAACAGGAAGGACCAACTCCAATGCCTCCTTCTTTAAAGTTATGGCCCTGTTCCAGAACCAGAGCAGATACTGACTATTTATGACTCTACAGGCCAATAAACTTTATCAGCTGAAAAGCACGGGTGCAGGGTTTACTGCCCGTATTTGCAGGGCCTTGTCACAAAATGATCACTGCATTATGTCTGATTCAACAAATAGATCTTTTCCAAAATACGCCAGGAGAAGCAAAGCGAGTTGAAAATCCAGCCTGCATAGCACTTGAGAACCACCATTCCGTGCACTTTTATAATAATGTGATACATGACTAAAAAAAAATCAGAATTCACACAAATCCCTGACAACCTGCCAGTTTGAAGGCAGCGACTGAGCCGCTCTGTTAAGAGAATCAAAAGTCAGAAGTTTCTCAGGCAGAGAAACTGATATTTTTTGTGCATTCAGAACAATTTCAAGTATAAAGCAAGTAAGATTTATTCTGTGATTATCGAATCATTCATTTATCATTTCAGCTATTTAGTTCATCAGAATCTATACAGGCATATAAAAATCAAACTCCTCTACTCCTGAGTTTCAGCAAAGATGAGTTGCAAAAGAAGACTTTATATTTACCTGATGATCCTCTGAGCAGCATACTGATGAAGCGAGCGGAACTGTGCCGACATATTGGCTAAGGCTGCCAAACAATTTGTATGAAGGTATTTGTCCTGTCAGAAAGAGGAGGAAAGAAAAAAAACCACATCAGACTGTCCTTTTGATACACACCGACACCTACTGCAGGAATCATTTGAAAGACTACATCGTGTATGTTGCTTTAAAGGACATGGTCCAAAGCATACAGCAGAAACGCAAAGTGTATACACTGAGTGACGTTTTAAATATGTTTTCTTAAAATATAATACTTCTAGAAGAGTGATTGTTTCACACAGATTTCAGAGTGTGTATGTCTTCATATCTTTAGCAATGTTGAGTTACAATGACATCTTAGATGTAACTAATATTAAAAGACATCCTCCTCCTCTCCCTTCCTCTCTCTTCTTTCTGTAGTCTTCTCCTAAATTTTTCTGCTTCATAACTCACCTCCCTATCAACTCCTTCAAAGCATTCTATACATCCCACAACTATAACCATATGATACGTCAGAGATGTGGTCCCCTCGTTAGCATCCCTGAAACCATTTGAAAAGATGAGCATTTATACGATGGCCCTATCAAAGCCAAGGGTTCTCACAGAACCAAACTTGTCCACCGATCCAATCCAATATGGATTTATTTTCTATTCAGATCTTAAATATGCATTTACGTAACATAACAGATTCCAAATCCTACAAATACATGCCAAGAAAGTCCTTGTTTCTTCCAATTCTTTTGATCATAAAAGTGAAATCCTTAAATTTTCCAATTTAAAATGTGTTTAAATATTTTTTTGCTACTTTTTCATGTAAAAACTTCTGTGTCTTTAATTGCTGAAAATATTCAAAAGCGTACGATACCACGCTTATATGTTTGAGATAAGGTATAGAATCAAATGCTTGAAAAATGCACAAACCCAATCTTATAAACGAGGCTATAAAGCTGAAGTTTTGCTTTGCTAGAGCTCTAAAAGGTTTGATGGCCCAGTCACGGTCCTACTTCATAAACACACTAACAACAGAATGGAAATTCCCACTTCCAAGTAATTTAAGACAGGCAAACAACCTACAAGGAATCATTTCTTCTCAGGAAACTAAGTAACTTTTTCTTCTCGTGTGACGATGAGTTTGGTGCCTGAATTACGGTCTTCAGAGAACCCTACCCAATGAGCTGGATGATAGTACAGAAATTGTGTTGCAAGTTCAGAACCACTTAACATTCTGCTTAGTTAATACAGCTGATCTTCCCACTCCTTCCCTCCTGTAAATTCAGAAACCAACTGGTTACAACTGAATGAAGAAAATCCCCCACCCTGTTTGAAACTGAATTCATCCTGTTGAAGAGGGACCTTTCACAAGGGTGTGTAGTCATTGGACAAAGGGGAATGGCTGTAAACTAAAAGAGGGCAGATTTAGATGAGATATTAGGAAGAAATTCTTCACCGTGAGGGTGGTGAGACCCCGGCCCAGGTTGCCCAGAGAAGCTGTGGCTGCCCCCTCCCTGGCAGTGCTCAAGGCCAGGTTGGATGGAGCTCTGAGCAACCTGGGCTGGAACCAGATGATCTTTAAGGTCCCTTCCAACCCAAACCATTCTATAATTCTATGAAGTTAGGAACTACGTGCCCAAGTGCTACACGTAACTCTTACCCTTGTCCGTGTCATGTTGTACTGGATGGTTCTTATCACGACTAGTATCAGGAGACTCCCAAGTGAGATCTCTGTTAAGACCCGCTCAGCATACCAAGTGATATTTTTCAATATCTGGGAAAACAAAAAAAAAGAACAAAGATCTTCAGCAGCTAGGTCTGAATAAGAACATCAAATGTTGTCTGGATTCTTGCATACCTTAAGATAGGTAAATTAGCTTCCAGCCTCAAATGTGACCAAAACCTATTGTATTCTAAAGCAAGAATAAAAAAGTAAGAAAAAAAAAGCCGACAGACCTCTGCAGTATTACCACCTAGCAGATCTCATCAATGTTATCATAAGTCATGAGGAAACACACTAAGTGCAGAAGGATGACTAAATTTGGCAATTCCCTAATTTCTATACCCTGTGCCACCACACTCCTATATCCTTTTTACCTTACCCTTTACATTTCCAGAAGTCTCCAGTTCCACCATAGCCACCTGAATAATGTTGTCAATTCCTTCCCGTTTTCCCTCATTACAAGTTGGGCAAGAGGCAGCACGTAGGAGCTCGGACTGATCGGCAAGAGCGCACACACTGAAGGACGTCGGGCAGATCAACAGGGTAACTGTTGACTTCGCCCTGAAGCCTTTCTTTTGTCAGAGGCGACGTCTCTTCCCTTAAATAGGGTAGAACAAGTCAGCAGCTAGGTGAAGAGCTTCGTATCTTTCAGTGCTCTCCACTAGGGTGGATGAAGTCTACTACCATTTCCGAGTTTATTGCAGAAGGAGAATCAATCTTTTTTACTCTTTCCTCTTAGAGCACTCAGCCGCCCAACCTGGAGCAAGACGGCAAACTTACTCACAAACCCCCCTGCTTTAAAGGACTGATAAAAACAAGTCAACGGGAACTGCCCTAAAAACATGGGGAAGATCCTCTACAAATTCTAGGTTATTCTAGGTCAAAACAAAAACTTGCTTAAGAAAGACTACTGCACTCAAAGTTGTCACTCTGTATAAATTTATTTGATATATTAAGTACGTTCATGTACAGATGTCTTAAAAAAAGTCTAACCCCCACCAAGCTCAGCGATCAACTTTGTCAATTAGCCTCTTCTATTAAAAAATTATATGAAAACACACTTCTGACTCCATCCCTTCTTCCCACCTCTCCTTTGGATGTGTGAAAAGACTTGTCGCCCTTCATTTCACATAATTTCTGCTGTTAAAATTCCTTCTTCCTCCCGCTAACAAGCTTGCTCAGCAAAACAACTTCTTTCTCCAAGAGAGAGGATGGAGAAGCAGCAACCGTTTTCCTATGAGGAGATACGGAGAGCTGGCCACTGAACGACTTGCAGAAGACAAAGGAAAAGGCAATGCTGGGAATGACTTCAGGCTGTTGCTGATTTTATACTATTTACTCCTCCTGTCTAAGAGACACAAATTCATACAAACATTTGTGAAAAAGAAGGGGTATCTAGGAAACAAAATGAAAATCATACACAGGTATCAGTTTAATGACATTCTGAAATATTTAAAAAATAGCACTTTCAGAATCCAAAGCCTCATACAGCTACCTAAAAAAAAGGATAACCTACGCAATGATATCTACACAGGTTTCTGAAGGAATATAATACTAAATTCTACAAAATCTGAGGCAAAATCCAGGCCTGAAGTCTAGGCATCTCTCATTCTGAAGCGTTACACCACAGCATCACCCCTTGGTTTGGTAGCACAGGACTCTTTCACTACAACTCCCCACTGCCACAGAGAAATGATTCCACGTCTGAAAGTGAGAACATTGGTGGCACTCCCACATTCAGGTAACTTGGAGAAATGGACAACCTACACATAGGTACTTAGATCTTGTTATTTATTTGTTAAAAGGCGCAAAACCCCACCTTGTCTCCTTAATGGTACTGGCAAAGGATTACTTCATTTCTCTGATAATCCGGCGTTTACTCTACAAACATTTGTATGTTATTTTTCAAATGATGTAGTCGCTTGGTCACTAATCACTACAAGAGCACGGAACTGGAATCCAAAACGATCACCCCATGTTTGCAGTTTCCATCATATTAAATTCGTCATTTGAAACTCTGTATGTTATATATTTAAGGGGATTAGTAATTACGGTCATGCACACTGTTCAGCTCAAAGGCGTACATGTTAAGCAATCTTCTCCTCTCTGCCCATATTTGAGAAGGAAATGGGGGACCAGGAGCTATTTTACTAACACAGCTTCTTCCATCCAGCCCAGAGCCTGGGTCTGCGCAAACCTTTGTGATTCACAGACTGATTTAGGTTGGCAAAGACCCCTAAGATCACCAAGTTCAACTGCTGAGCTAGCTTAACCAAGTCCACCACTAAACCATGTCCCTAAGCGCCACGTCTTAAATACCTCCAGGGATGGGGACTCCACCACTGCCCTGGGCAGCTTGGTCCAGTGCTTGGCAACCCTTTCGGTAAAGGAATTTTTCCTAATATCCAAATGTAAACCTCCCCTGGCACAACTCAAGGCTGTTTCCTCTCATCCTGTCACTTGTAACTTGGGATAAGAGACTGACCCCCACCTCGCCACAACCTCCTTTCAGGCAGTTGTAGAGAGCAATAAGGCCCCCTCTCAGCCTTCTCTTCTCCAGACTAAACAGCCCCAGCTCCCTCAGCCTCTCCTCAAAGGACCTGTGCTCCAGACCCTTCATCAGCTTCGTTGCCCTTCTCTGGACATGCTCCAGCACACCAAGGTCCTTCTTGTAGTGAAGGGCCCAAAACCAAACACAGGATTTGACGGTTGGACTTGATGATCTTAGAGGTCTTTTTCCAGCCTCAATGATTCTATGATTCTATGAGTACAGGGGACAACCACTGCCCTCCTCCTGCTGGCCACACAATTTCTGATACAAGCCAGGATGCTTTTCATACAGTGGAATAAGAGTAGGCTACATAGGAGTCCTATAAGAATATTAACAGCACAGTTGTCACTGCAGATGACAACTTGTTTTTAAATAGAACCTATTACTTTGGAGAGAAAATTAAAAGTTGTATTATAAAAAGAACACTTCAACTAGGAAGATCTTAGTCTCCCTTTCTAACTATCTTCCTGATCTTTGTTTCTCTTCCATCAGTCTCCTTTGGTATTAGATTTTCCCTGTGCTCCCTTTAGGTGGGTTTGGAATATCCCCAAGACAATCAGCCAACAGACCGCTGTTGACCAATCCTTCCCAACAGGAGTCGCAGCAATGCAGTTTGATGTATTTTACAGCACACCCATCACTGAATTTCTTTTCTAGTCAGCAGCCTTCATTTTTGCAGTAGTTTAACCGACATACACGGAACACATGCCTCCCGCGAAGCCCATAAACTCAGCAAATGATTTACACTACAATCTGTGAAGCAATCAAATGCAGCAGGTGCTCAAACACCGCAGTAATGCAAGCTGAATTAGTATTGAGAATGGAGAGGTTAGAGTGTAACTGTTATAGAATCATAGAACGGGTTGGGGTGGAAGGGA